CTTCATTCATTACTAGTTATATTTTTTAAGTTTTTTCTACTCCTACACTTTTGCCACTATATATATAAAGTTTTCTTCTCTCTAATAACCTTTTGCACACTCTCATTTCACCACCAATTCTCCTTACCGTCTAATCTACAACATTTAGGTTCTCCTAGCGTATCCTTAGCCACTTTTCTAATACAATAAGACATGCTATTCCACATAATATTAGTCTCATTATCTATGTTCTATATATATTTTTATTAGCTTATCCTTAAAATGTATTAAATTCTTTAAATTCCACCATTTAGTTCTTAATCTCTTGTTCACGTTAGTTTTTCTACTCTACTTCTTAATAGATATGTTTAAGACCATCAATCTATGTTGTGTACTTAAACTCTCTTCTGATATAACTTTACAATCTTTTCATATTAACCTATCCCCCATTCTAGTAAGGAAAAAGTCGATTTGACTTTTATTAAAATCACTTTTAAAGGTTATTCAGTGTTCATCCCTTTTTCTTAATAGTGTATTTGCTATTATTAAATCATACAATATTGCAAACTCTAAAATTGATTTATCCATATCGTTCTTATCTCCATACCCGAAGCCTCTATGTATCCTCTCATATCCGTTATTATCCTTACCAACATGTCCATTAAGATCCCCTCCTATAAATAATTTCTCTCTAAATAGGATTCATTGTACCAATTCATTTAATCTATCCCAAAATTCCCTTTTAGCACTCTCGGGCAAGCCTATTTGTGGTGTATAAGTACTAATAATATTAATAACCTCTATACCTAAAACAACTATTATTAGTATTATTCTATCTTCAACTCTTCTTACTTCTACAATACTTTTATTATATTATCTACAAGAACTCCCACTCCATTCATATTCTTCTCTTTTCTTGTGTACCAAAGTTTATATCCGGTCTTTTTAATTTCTCTAGATTCTTCACCTATCCATTTTGTTTCTCGTAAACAAATTATATTTATCTTTCCTCTAAGCATAACATCCACTAATTCCATAGTCTTTCCGGTAAGTGTACCTATATTCCAAGTAGCTAATCTAATTCTATTTTTTTGTAAAAGTCTCCAACCATTCTCCCTCTAGACCGTTCTAGTCTATGCCTAATACTATTAGATAACCTATTAGAGGATTGTAGATTCTTAGAACTCATTTGCTTACTTGTCATTACACTGGGGTGACATCGATGTAATGCGTCGCTTCTGGGGGACGCCCTAGCAAATCACCATTGCTTACTTATCATTGCATCGGGGTGGCACCGATGCAACGCGTCGCGGTGGGGACGCTCCAACGAGTATATAATAGGATTCATTTTTCATGTGGATTCGACTATATTTTACGCTAGCTGTCGGCTACCTAACACAACCCTCCTCCTTTATCCTGGCTTGGGACAAGCAATGTTGACAATAAACACAGCACTGGCAGAGTGAAAGTAAAGATGTAACTTGATTCTATTACATTTTCTATGGGCACATTAGTGCTCCGACAAATCGGAGAGTCATGAAGTGTTTAAGCTAGTGCTAGTCTTTACTAATCTTAACACCTTGAATGAATTCAGATTACAGATGAAAACCATCCATTACAGAAAATGCTTACTACTGGGCTTTTGCATGGTTCCTCACAAATGTTAGATACATTAGTTCTTGTGTTTATTGTATGATATACCTCTGGTTTGACATGCTCTGTAATGATATTGTCTCAAGTGATGTAGGATCATATAAGTAGTCCTTAAAGATTGAAGAAGTGGCCCCACTATTTCATCATAAAGCCTAACGCTGTCCTTTTCACTGGGATAAAAAATTTTCCTCTACAGGGTCCGTGACAGTAAGACTCGTGCGGGTGTCCATCATCATTATAAGTTGTCTACATTCTTCTCTAGCTTTCTTTTATTTACCGAATAAAGGGCTCTTTCACATGAGAATCCCTGTGTCAGCCGTTGTTTAGACCTCCATTTAGGACATAGCTCCTTATAAAACTTAATTCTGCACGGTCTCGTTGATGTAGGTTTTGATGTCATTTTTTATATATTAAATGAGAACCTTTTAGAAGCTTATCTCAAAAAGTACTGTTCTAGCCAGAATATGCTTGATTTCAGAGTATTTTTCAGGCATTGATGCATTTTGTTGCTGAATTCTGAGTAGCATATTGATCCCATGGGCAAACAAAAAATCATTCATGTGTTGGATTTATAAGTTGAATTTTCTGACGACTTTATAGTCTATTCACGTAAGACAGTTGCAAGACGAGAATCAGTACTGGTCACATTTTACTTTTTATAAGTTTTATTTCGGCTTTTTCTCATTTATAAGGTCTAACTTCTTTTATATCAGAGCCGTTAGAATCAACAAGTTGTACTTGTCACTTTGGTTTCTCTTTATTAGCTTTCCAAGACATTTATATCTTACTCTTTGATCTACCTGGAAATGTTCAGTTAGTTATGCTTCATGATTTGGACTGTGGAACTTCTCTATTGTACTTCCTCTGATTATAGCATGTGTTGTCTGTTGCAGGCTAGAGACACTACAATCTCAATGCCATACAGAGTCCAGAGAATAGAGGACTTTGTGAAACAGTTGGAGTCGGGAGATTTGAAGCTCCGAGTTAGGGTGCTTGAGGTAACTGTCAGATATTCATTATTATGACATGACTTATTTCTTTTGTTATCCTCATTTAAACAATTTAATTAATGGAGTATCTTTCACAGTGTTTGCTGATATTCATTATCCATCCTGGTGTATGTCGTGAATGTCTCTAACCAATTACACTATACCTCCAAAGTTGCGGTGAGGGCTGCGGATTCTATTTTTATATTCTAATATGCCCCCATTGGTTGAGCACCCTTTTTATGGGCTGAAACTTGGACTCACGCAGCGGTGCTAATTTTTAGAAAATCCGCTTTAAATTTATGGCCAGTGGGATTTGAACCTGAACATTATCAAATTTAATATATGCTTATTCATCCAACTTTTTTCGTCATTCCAAATGCATTCAAACTGAAGACTTTTCCTAGTGGCACAATGACCCATGTGAGGGATAATGTTAATTTTTATGTACGCATCAATTTTTATGTACGCATACATTGTTACTTCACAACATAATAGTTTAGGTTTTTGTAAAGTAATTTCTTGACATACAGTTTTTCCCCATCGACAAATGGTATAGGAAAGTGAGCTGGTTTCAGATCCCATGGCTCCAATCATTTCACAAGTTAAAGAGTGCAGGGTCAAACAGTTGTGGGGAACATCCCATTTTCTGTCATGAAGATCATTTTCAGTATTACACTTCATGTACTGAATTCATGTAGTCTCCTATGTTGATTGCATTAAATTTTCTTACTGGATTTTCTTCTATTTCTGTTTATTTACCAACTTTACATTGACAAAAGATGCAACGGAAAATTTCAGTCGGAAAGAGCTGCACGAAAAGCCACCATAATGCAGATGGCCACTATATATACAGCTTTGAGTGGAACTTTGCTGAACGTTGGGGTCACATTGGGTAGCCAAGGGAACCAAGTGATTGCTAATGGATCTTTCATTGGTGCTGGTAAGTGGCTTAATTATCCTTATTTTCTATACAAATGTCCCCACTAATCCTTCAATAGTAAGGTGGTAGTTCATCTTAGCATTAATATTACACAATAGCAGGTAGTAGCTCGTGACTTTAGGAAATGAGATAGCAGGTGGTACCACGACCTAGATGAAGCTCCTGTCAATATATTGTTTATATTCCTTTGCCTTAACAGAGATTGTGTGCCTGTTAGGCAAACTCGGTAAACCCATTTTAGTGGAGACAAAATGGGTGCATGTGCTCAGCCATTGTTTGGCAAGTAAAAAGGATGGAGAAAATTAGTTCTTTTGAGGCTCCCTTTTATTCAATAACTAGGCCAGAAACAAAACAATTCTCCCCAGGTCTAAACGAGAGCTAGTTTAGAATTGAATGGCTCAAAAATAGAGTCTAATCCAAGACGCAGTCAAACTGATTTTAAATTAAAACTAGTTCGATATAGTCTAGTTTAGCCTAATTCAGGCCAAGTGGAGCTGGTTCCCAACTGTCTAGATTATTTTCAAAGTTAACACACACACACACCCTTAAGTTGTGAATACAGGTCCTATCAGACCACCCCTATCCCCTATAAAAGTCAGGTATTTTGCACCATAAAGAAAATAGTTAAAATTTCCAAACTACCAAAGTGTCCACCCGTGAATGGTGTAGATATGATAGATCTGTATTTTTAAGTTGCTACCTTCACTATTGGTGCAATTTTCAATTTCCTAAATGTCAGCTTCAAAGGTTGACAGGTATTGTTGATCTCCAGTGATGATGGCCAAGAATGTGTTCTCCTTTTAATAAAGACGACTATAGTCCTAGTATATAATTTATCAATGAAACACAAACAGCTCCAACTTCTACGTACCAAACAATTATGAGTCTATGACATAACCCATGTAATATTTATCTGTTTGCTGTCCGAAGATCGGATTGCTTCATTTTCACTTATATAGGAAAGTGGTAGGAGGGATTTTAGCTTTGCTGAAATTACGCCTTCTTGCTTAAGCAAGGGGTGGGTTTGGATTTGAGCTCGTGGATGATATGGAGATGTTTGAGAATGGGTAAAGCTCACTAGTCACTCCAAGAGCTCAGTATGAACTTACATTTGATTCTACGTCTGATAGCCCCTCGTTAAGCTGCAAAATTTTACTAACAAAGTTTCTAGGATCCAACCTGCATTTTCATCTTTATATTCCTATAGTAGTTCTCCCCTTAAATTTGAAATGTTGGAACATTAAATAATAACGGTTGGTTTATGATTTGTGTCATTTGCTAATCACTAAAACGTTCAAACTCATCCGCTTTTTGACTACATTGTGTCTCTTTTGAGGTTAATTTTTGATATCTTCCATGTCCTTGTACTCAAGCTTTTTTTTTTTTCCCTGGCTCTTCTTTTCCCTCTCTTTTGAGGAACTTCCTTGTTTCAAAAATATTTTAAGTTCAAAATGGATATTTGGAATAGTTTGAAATGAAATACTCAATACACACACATTTACTGACAGCAAGCTTGCTGAATATTCTCGAACGTCAAAAAATGCAGGTGTCTTCTTGACATTGCTTATCAGATCCATGCAAAGAGTGAAAAAGCTCGACAAATTCGAGACGATGATTTGAACCCATCGTCATGTTGTAGCTTTTAAATTCGCATTCTTAATTATACCAAGATCACCTAGATCTCTTGTATATGATTACAGGTTAGTTAGTTAGTTTATCATCAAATATGTACACGGGGAAATCCCATCAAGAATCACAAAGAAAAATGTAAAAATAGATGGCCATTTCTTATCAATTTATAAAATTGGTTTTAAGTAGCGCTGGTGAGTTTTTGTATTTTGTGGTCATATTGTGTACATCTCTAGTTTCCATTAAATTGGTACTCAATAAGCTTATAGTTGTATCGAATTTGTGCCTTGATAAAATGGTGTTTCTTTTTATGAATAATAATTAGGACAAATATACAACGAGTACTCAATATAATCTTCACATAAGCGGATTAATCTCTGTACCCCTTATGTTCAAGGGTTATTATTCTCTTGATATATCACTTATAATGCCTCTCATTATAAGTGTGTTTATTTATTTATTTACTTATTTACCATGGTCTTCATAAAGTCATAAATACACTTACCCGCATGCAATTAGGACACACAAATCGTTTGGTGAGATTTCCACCCCTTTTAAGAAGAGGCGTTATTTATTTATTTTTTCTCTTCTTTTTTTTAAATTATCTTTTTCCTTTGCCTTCCTAAAATTTCTTGATGCGTATTTGCAACTAGGAACGTCTGAATAAAACAAGATGCTCATGAGAATAAAATCTCGTGTAATGCCCCCACCCACTTAAGTTTAGTCTGACCCAGTCAACGAGATGTGGGCCCCCTGTCTAATCAGCAAGTAAATACTAATTTGAAGGAAGCGGTTATTCCAAGGTATTTTCAGCTGTCTTCTGATTAAAACAAGCTATGGGAAACGAATAAAATAAATAAATAAATAAAGCATCCGAATCTAAACCGGGAAATATTACCTCCTCAATGACTCCAGCTGTCTTAATTAACTTCTCAAAAACCCTAGCCCTATATATATGTGCGCATACGTGCATGTGTTTTTCTAAAAAAAGCCTATAAGCCCTTGTAACCCTAATAACACCATAAAAAGAGAGAAGCAAGATGAGCAGCAATAATGATCGTATTGAGGCGAAGGAGAGCTGCTTCAGGGTTCCTCTGCAGTATCCGAGATACAAGAAGAAAGATTATGAGACGATGGAGGAGTGGAAGCTCGACTGTTTGCTCGCAGAATATGGGCTTCCGATCGTCGGAGGCGTCGAGGAGAAGAGGAGCTTTGCAATGGGAGCTTTTCTTTGGAACTAACAAGACGAAGGGATTGTTTCTTGATGGAAGAGGGTCGTGCGCTGGTTCTTTGTTTTTTTCTTTTTTTAGAGGTGTAATTTTATGATCATTAGTTTTAATTTTTCTTAAAAAAAATGATCATTAATTTTGATGGTTCACGGAATCTTTTTTCTTTTTCTTTTTCTTTTTCTTTCCTTTTTAAAAAAAAAATTTATTTATTAGTCCTGTTTTTGGGATTGGGGAGGGTGCAATCTGATATGGGCTTCTTGATTCCTGAGTTCTTCCTCTCAAATATTTCTCCTTTTTTATTCTTTTCCCACTCCAGAGTGGGTTGATAATCTTAATCTTTGGAATCCAAAATTAGTATGTGGGTTGATGATAAGAAATCAGATATACAATTAGTGAAACATAATCAAAGAACCATGGGAAATTTTATTAATATGTTGATGATATTAGTGAAACATAACATAATCAAAGAACCATCAAATCATGACGGTTAAAATGGAGGAGTGCTTTGTGAGTTTTGTATGATCGTAGAATACACGTTAGACTTAAGGAATAATTTTATAGGACAGCTACAAGACCGGATCGGAATGTTGGACAACTAAAAAATAATGTGTAAAAAATGAGTGTGGTAGAAATGAGCATGTTCATATGGTTTTGTAGCTATACATGAAAAAATAGGATAATAAAATGAGTGCATCCGTAGTGAAGTAAATTAGAAGTTGTTCCTATAGAGGATAAAATGAGAGAGAATCCATTTAAGGTGGTATGGTCATGTACAATGTAGATATCTTAGTGCACCTGTTAGGAGAAGTGATATTATTATAGTTAATGGAGCGAAGAGATCCAGAGATAGACCTAGAAGGACTTGGGTTATGGTTATGGTTATGGTTAGCTTAGGAGAGGAGATGACCCATAATAGACAGGGTGGAATAATATGATTCATGTAGCCGATCACACATACTTGGGATAGAGGCTTTGTTGTTGTTGTTTGTTATGACATTATACTCGCAAGTGTTAATTAACATGGGATTGTTAAACGAGAGCATGTCATTATTATTGAAGATATTTGGTGAAGAAGATGCTCAAGGGATTTGGATTTTGTTTTACTTATTAATTACGAAAAGTAATACTTTTAATCAAGATCGTTAGTTATTTAATAAGTGGTTATAATTCATTTTATATTTAGCACTTTTCATATTTGTTGTATTGTATTCGTTTCCCAATTTCCACTCCAGACTATATGGAAAATGATAAATAATTATGATAAAAAAATTACAAATTCAGCTTCGGCCAGAGTCGGCACTAGTGAACTTTAGAAGGAATTATTGAAGAATACCTATGCTATTATAGCCTTTGTCATTAACTAATCTCATCAATTAATGTCAACGTCCCCACATCCTTAAAAGATGTACAGGCCAATGTACTGTCAATCTATGGTGTCCATGTATTGATGCGGGTGTTAATTCTTAGGGGCTGTTTGGATCGGGTATTTTGAAGGGGAAATGAGGGGGAAGCTGTCAATTTGTCAGCTTTTCTTTGAGAGAAAGCTGCCAAAAAGCTAACAAATTGGCAGCTTTCCCCTTCAAAATACCCGATCCAAACGGGCCCTTATCTCCTTCCCTAATCACTTTGTCAGGACTAACTGATTGGCTAGTAAAAACCCTATTAACGTTTCATCATTTTTTTTATATTTAAATATTTTAAATTATAAAATGGTCAAAAGCTAATTAATCTAAATTAATTCTAATTGAAAATAGCCGAACTAAATTAATTAACTCGAGAGCAGTTCTATAAAAGCCATCTTATACTTATCGGGACTAAGTATATATAACTAGATTGATGTTAGTATCAAGTTTATAATTTACCAAACTAACCCTAGAGTATATCTCTATTCCTCAATAACCCAGATTCGACTTCTATCGAGAAAGATTTACTAAATTTTCTATTATATTCGATATAGTCAAGAATTTTATTGAGATACAAAAGTTATATCTAATGAAGTACAAGTACAATTGACCCTTGCATGTCCTCATATCTTAAAATCATTGCTAGCTAACCTCATTCGAATGCCACTAAGTACATTCTTTCGGATATAAGTTACTAATCTCTTGTGAGAGTGGGGACCACTCACGTGCCATGTGAGAAGATTTGCGCATGAGGAGCTCAAGAAAGTCCAACGTGCCAAGTTAAAGTCCAGCGGGTAAATTTGCACAGATAGCCAAGGTCCAACAGGTTTCTTCACCGGCCCACCAAAACTCCTATAAATATCCGGGATCTCCTAGGGTTTTGTGTGGGAGAAAAGTTGTTGTGGTAAAAGACTACGCAAAAGAAAAACGCAGAGGAGAGGTTTAGCCGGCTGTTAAGGAGAAAAACAGAGAATTAAAGAGAGAGATTTTGAGGAGAGAAAAAGAGGGATTTACAAAAGAGAGGTTATTTTCTTTTGGGTAAAAATTAGATCTTTTTCTTTGAGACGAGCTTGTGGATTGTACAAGTCGTCGGTGTTCTTCTCATAGTGGAATCTCCCCTCACCCCTCCCGTGGACGTAGGCAAGTTTGCCGAACCACGTAAATCTCGTGTATTTACTATTTTCTGGGTGTTGGCTATTGCTTGTAGGTTCCCTCAATATTCGGTCTTAGAGCTGATGAGAGGAAGAGTGTATATTTCACTTTGATGAAATATATCACTTTCAATTCTTGTTTCCTTTGAGAAATAAGAATTTCATTATCTATTGCTTTTGTGACAACAAAAGCCAGGGCTCTCTCTCAGGTGATATCGCTTCCGCGGCGGTGGGCGTGACTACACGCCCAACAATTGGTATCAGAGCTGTTATTCAGATTGGGAGTGGTGTAGCTTCTGATTTGAGGTGGTGCTCGGTAATTTCCTGAGATAAGCGGATTTATTAATACAAGCGGATAATGGCGTCTACCAGTAAAACGGTTAAAGTGGGAAAGTACGAGATTGAAAAAATTCAATGGGAAGAATGATTTTTCTTATTGGAGGATGCAGATGAAGAACTCGTTGATTTCGCAGAAATTGCACAAAGCTTTGGCGGGAAAAGAGAAGAAGCACAAGGATATGTCTGATGAGGATTGGGAGGAGCTGGATCTGGAAGCACGGGCGTCGATTATCCTTTGCCTTGAAAGAGATGTAGCTTTCTTGGTAGATGGAGAGGAAACGGCTACGGGCGTGTGGTCGAAGTTAGAAAGCACCTTCATGACGAAGAGTCTAACAAACCGGATCTATTTGAAATCCAAATTGTATACTTGCAAGATGGAGGAGGGCTCATCAATCCGGGAATACATCAACAAGTTTGATAGGATTATATCGGACCTGAAGGATATCGATGTGACTATAGAAGACGAGGATCAGGCTCTTCTACTACTTCTATCTCTGCCGAAGTCTTATGAGAACCTGGTGCAAACACTGATGCTTGTGGGAGACAATTTGACGATGGATGAGACTAGAACGGCGCTTCTACTTCTAGCGGATGACCTTCGGAAGATTGCAACCAGTGACATGACTACTGGTGGTAACAAAGAACAAGCGCAGGGATTGTTTGCTAGAGGAAGGAGCAATGAGCGAGGAAAAGGCAAGGGAGGAAAGTCTAGATCTAAATCGAGACCTCTTGCGAGAAGAGCGTGCTTCAAATGCGGTGAAGTTGGGCATTTTAAGGTCGACTGTCCTAACAAGAGAGTAGGTGGGAAAAAGAACAACAACAAGACCGGGAGAAGAGAAGGTAAGGAAGAGGCGAGTTACGCATCGGAGGAAGGGAGCGATAAGGAATGCTATGTCGTCACGGGTGACGAGGATACCTCCGGGAAGTGGATTCTTAATTCTGGTTGCTCTTACCATATGTGTCCAAATAGAAAGTGGTTTACTACCTACAGGAGCATTGATGGTGGAACCGTATTGATGGGGAATAACCATGCTTGTAAAACGGTGGGGCTCGGTGATATAAAAAT